CTCTGGAGGAAGTCTGCATCCTGAGAGGTGAAATCCTCAGCCCCCTTGACCGGGCCAGCTCCAGAAACCAGCAGTCAACTTTGTATCTACCTCGTGAGACTGCAGAAGGCTGGAGGATCCTTCACTAAGAAACTAAGCAGCCTCAGAGAAAAGTCCTACAGACGTCATGGCGGAGGCAGACGGGTGCTCCCCGGAAGCCACCCTCCCCTTCTTGCACAACGATGGAATGTTTACTTGGGGGCACTGAACTCTAGCTGAAGACCACACAGCACAGTCCGCTTCGCAGCTGAGTGTAGCCACGAGGTCCACGTGATGTCGGCACAAGTAACGTGGACAGCTCCTGCGGTGAGCCAGCTTAAACCGTGTAAACGAGGGCAACACCCCAAGGATGGCAAGCACAGGGGAGAGCTTAGATCCCCCACCCCCAGGGCCTCCACATTATCCACAGACCACTGACACCAGATGTCCTACCTTTTTAAGCTGCTGTTATCTTGGCCCTTGTTTTAGTACCCAAACCCGTATCTTACCTAGATACAGACAGTTGGGAGGTCCCCAACAAAAGGGCCACTGGCTACCTGACCGCCCTACTTTGGATCCCAAGAGTCTACCCACGCCACTGATGCACAGAGAGCTTCCAAATACCTTTGAGTGATCTGTAAATCACTACCACCTCCGACCGTGTAAATTTTATGCCTCTGGAATTTCAATTCCAAATACATTAAGACAGTGAGATCATACATTAAGAGCGTTTGCCATTGCCAACAACCTCTGGTTTATGATGTCTATAACCCAAAAAAGGAAAGTGACATTTTCTGAGAGTGTATCCCATAAAAATTCAGAGTGAGGTGACAGAAGGAATGAATACATTTGTATTCTTCTTTGTTGGGTGTGATTTACTACTACTCACATGTTTGAAGCGCTTGAAATTTTTCCAGTATTATGTAACATTATGTCCAGTATCTTGAATCCTAGCTTTTAATACTCTTTCTACTACTCCAGGGTAAGATTCTGGAATATCAGAGCTATCTATAATTATCCTTCCTTTCTCTGATGGCAATGAGACTGCTAAAGGGTCAAGTGGTCAGCCTGGAGACACCAAACAATCAATGGAAGAGATCTGAATGTACTCCATGTCAAGCCTGAAATTCGATCCCGCTTGGTACAACGTTTATCGATTAATATGTAACCAGTAATAGAAAGTGGGAAGACAAAAGCACCTTTTGGTATAAAACACGATGGGTCACATGGCAGAGAAGAGACTGGGTGTGCTTTTCTTCATTCATGCTTCAGTTTACAGAAACTCAAAGGAGGGTGATCCTTTGCTCCAAGCCCCACATTCAGAAAAATCATACTGGCTCCCTTTTTTGTCTCAGACTTTTTGACTGGACTATTTCTCATGGGACTTTTAGATTCTACCAGATCAGCGGCGCCTGGGGGGCTCAGTCGGTTAAGCGTCCGACTTTGGTTCAGGTCATGAGCTCACGGTTCATGGGTTCGAGCCCACGTTGGGCTCTGTGCTGACAGCTGAGCCTGGAGCCTGCTTAGGATTGTGTCTCCCTCTCTCTCTGCCTCTCCCCAGCTTGTGCTCTGTCTCTCTCTCTCTCAAAACCAAATAAACATTAAAAAGATTTTTTTTCTAGGACCAAAACAAAAACAGGCAGCTGAGTGCATTTGGCCCGTGGGCCATAGTTAGTTTGCCTACCTCTTGTTATAATAACGTCATTCTTTTCTTTGAAACCAACATTAAAAAGGAAGTCACTTTTAATAAAGACAAAAATGGTGCCTGGGTGGCTCAGTCGGTTAAGTATCAGACTTCGGCTCAGGTCATGATCTCACAGTTTGTGAGTTTGAGCCCCACATAGGGCTCTGTGCCGACAGCTCAGAGCCTGGAGCCTGCTTCGGATTCTGTGTCTCCTCCCCCTCTCTCTGCCTCTCCCCAGCTCATGCTGTCTCTATCTCTCAAAAAAAAAAAAGTAAACATTAAAAAAAATTTTTTAAAAACCACAAAAGATTCTACCAGATCAAATCCAGAAACTCAGCTGGCACAAAGCCTGAGAGCCCTTCTTGATAAAGGAGCATCATTCCCAGCAGTTCAGAGGAAATAAAGTTTATGCTCCGCTGTGAAGCAATTTAGCACGGACTTCATAGTCAGACTGCCTGGGTTTGAACCCGAGTTCTCCCACAGCCAACCTGGGCAATCGTGGTCAAATGACGTGGGCCTGGTTTCCTCGTCCATTCAGTGGTGAGAGTAACAGCACCTGCCTTGTGCTGGGGGGGGCTGAGAGAGCAAACCGTGAAGTGTCCACGGCAGGACTTGGCACATGGGAAATGCTATCAAAGTGTCAGCTACCATTAACTCTTTTAAAAAGTTTATTTACCTATTTTGAGAGAGAGAGAGAGTGACAGAGAGAGGGGAGAGAGAGGATCCCAAGCAGGCTCCACACTGTCAGCACAGAGCCTGACTTGGGGCTCAAACTCACAAAGCGTGAGGTCGTGATCTGAGCTGAAATCAAGAGTCAGAGGCTTAGCTGAATGAACCACCCAGATGCTCCATTATTAACTTTTTTATTGTGGGAATCAGGAAAAGTTTTACGGGAAAGGTGGTATTTGATGTAGGCTTTTAAAGAGGAGTAAGATTTCAACTAGCGATGATCAGGAAGAGGACAGAGAAGCAGGGGAGGAGAAAAGGGGAATTAGGGGAACATGGCATACAGGTAAGGAAAGAGCCTAGAAAACTAGGTTGCGTCAGTTCCAGACAAACGGCTCTCCTGGAAAATATCCCGTAACTATAAAGCATCACTCTCACTAAGGATCTCAGCATAGCTTGTAAAGTAACCTTCATTTTGTTCTTTCATCATGACTGTACTTCTACTGGGCATCGTTACTAGGTCCAGTGTGAAGGGTCATTTATCTTAGAAAAATATTTTCAAAGAAATAGATGGGTAAGTTCAAAACTTGAAAACAGTAGAATCTTTAAACAAACAACATCAGTCAACACAAGCTATCAAGGCTCCAGATAAACCTCATGACCTTACATTTGGAGATGGCTCTGCTCTCTCGTTCTGTATTTCTTCTTTTCCGTTTTCGCCTGACCGTGTCATGTGGTACGATCTGCCTTCGATGAAAGTAATGTAGTCTTTGTAGGAGCAGAGTGGGCCTGCCAGGATGCCCATGAAGTTACAGTTGTAACTTAAGTACTCCAGGAGGCTTGGCATGCGTCTGTAAATGGAAAACGCGCAGCTTGTGAGATGTGATGTAAGCGTTCAGAAAATCTGATAGGAATAATCATCTTCCTCACTGCCCTTACCATTTCCAAAATAAAACAAGCTTCAATTTTCAGTTGCATTCATACAATAAGAATTTTTTAAAATGCTGATTTATTTTTGAGAGGGCGAGAGAGAGGGCAAGCAGGGGGAGGGGCAGAGAGAGGGGAACAGAGGATCCCAAGCGGGTCCCGTGCTGACGGCAGACAGCCCAAGGCGGGGCTCAAACTCATGAACCGTGAGATCACCACTTGAGCCGAAGTCGGACATTCAACTGACTGAGCTACCCGGGTGTCCCCAAACAGTAAGAATATAAAAGACCAGGATGTAGTGATGCTCAATGGTGTTTCTGGGAAAGGGAGCCTCCATACAGGCCTTTATGACCAACTACAACAGGTTTCTACTTAATTTCTTCATTATAAAACAAACCTAAGACGGACAAGACGTGGCATAAAGAATCATCCCTGACTGGCTAACCATTCAAGCACTCGACAAATCTTATGTGTGCACCGAGTATATGCCCACCTGCAGTCTAGAGATACTGCAGTGAACAAAATAGAGACATATTCTGCATTCACATAGAAGATGCAAAAAACAGATACTTTAAAAACATGTATGAAGTATTTTCAGAGATGCTACGTACTACAAAGAGAAAGGTTTCTATTATTACTTTTACTATTGCTATTACTATTACATGAACAAGTCAAAGAAGGCCTCTCTCACAAGACAACATCTGGGCAGAGCCCGGAAGGAGTGAGACGGGGAGTCCTGTGAGTATCTGTGACAAGGATCAGGGCAGAGGGAACAGTGTGTGCAAAATCACTGAGATGGAGCGTGCCCCGCAGCAGGGAGGCTGCTGTTGCTAGAAGGGGCTGAGACGTGGAGAAAGTCCGAGAGAACCGAGGGGAGATCATGTAGGGCTTGCCTTCTAAGCCATGGTAGGAACTTTCGGACTTTATTCTGAATGCGATGAAACACTACAGGAGGGTTTTTAAAAGACCTATGCTGCAAAAGAAGCCCTGTAGCCCCTGAGGGTGGGCAGGACACCAGTGGAAGCCAGAAGACCAGCCAGGAGGCCACTGGGATCTCTAGGCAGGAGAGGACAGTGGCTGGGAGGCAGCATTGGTGTATATTCTGGCAGGACAACCTAAGGGTTTGCTGATACACTGCATGTGGGTGTGAGAAAGCAATGAGGGATGCCTTGCAACATTTTCCATTCAAATGCTCTGAGGTCTGTGCAAATGACACGTGGTATCTAAAGTTTACAGAGCATTCTAGTTCTTACTGCAGGTAACCGGGTAAAAAATACATACGTTATCATACAGGTGACTTAGCAGCCTGCATTTTATTGATTTTCTTTTTTTTTTTAAGTTTATTTCTTTATTCTGAGAGAGAAAGCAAGCACATGCACACACGTGGCACAAGGAGAGGGAGCTCCTAGCAGGCTCTGAGCTGTCAGCGTGGAGCCCGACATGGGGCTCGAACTCACGAGCCATGAGATCGTGACCTGAGCCGAAACCAAGAGTCGGAGACTCAACTTACTGAGCCACCCAGGCTCCCCTTATTGATTTCCTGAAAGCAGCTCCATTTATCAAGTCTGCTATCCACTGACAATCATAAACAAAAGAACAGCTGGGGCACCCGGGTGGCTCAGTCAGTTAAGCGTCCAACTCTTGATTTCGGCTCAGGTCACGATCTCATGGTTCATGAGTTCGAGCCCCACCTTGGGCTCTGCTCTAGCAGTGCTGAGCCTACTTAGGACTCTCTCTCTCTCTCTCTCTCCCCTTCCCCCACTTGTGCTCAGTCTCTCTCTCAAAATAAATAAACTTAAAAAAGAGATTTTTAAAAGAACAGCTACACCTGGGGACAGGAAGCAGGCTTCTGGAAGATGTTACCATCCTTCCTTCCTCTCTAAATGTGAGAAGTGCTTTCCTTAAAAAAGCACACTCTTTGTGGCCAAGAAAAGTTGACAGAACCCCCCTCATATGTGTCTTTATTAAAAAAAAACATAAAAAAGAAAACTGTGCTTCCTGTCCATCTGATACTAGCTGGATCACCACGGAGCCAAACTCCTTTTTAGATTCTTCCAGAATTATTTTTCCACATTTAAAATTGTTTTGAGCTTTACGTCTTTTCTATTGAAGGCTCAAAATTGAGGCGAGAAACATGCTGCTGGCAGATTGTCTCTTGTCTTTCTTCCCGTGATGCTGAAAGAGAATGCTTTCTCACTGCCTCAAACAAGGGTGCGTGCCCTGCAATCACGAAGTGACGAACTTCCTGCGCTCCCCCAAAACAGCTCCATTTCAACACTGAGTATTTCAAGCCCCGAAACAATGCCAGGTTATCAAGGCGTGCAGCTCAGTCCTCCCAAGTCAAACAGTGTGTCACAATTTGCAAGGACAGGAGATAACTCTGAACCATGACATTTGCTGAAGCTGTCCTGGCTCAACTGTCATAACAAATGACAAGTCATTTTACGTCCTGAGTAGCTAATTACAACATTTGCTACTTAAAATGAGAAGTATTTGCTGCTTAAAATGAGAGGCATGTCCTTTATGACATGAAATGACAGAACCATTTTTCGTTCCATAGGCGTTTATTTGGGGTCAACTCCACTGGGTCCTCGGTTCGAGCTTCTCAATCTCAGCATTACGGGCTTTCTTGGACAATAACTCTTTGTTGCAGGGGGCTGTCCTGCGCACTGGAGGGTGTTTAGCGGCATCCTGGCCTCCACCCGCTAGATGTCAGTAGCGTCACCCCCCTCCACTGTGACAACGAAAACTGTCTCCAGACATTGTCTGATGTCCCCGGGGAGGGCGCGCAAGCACCCCCAGTGGTGAGCTGCTATCTCGGCGATGAGGATATAATCATAAACGAGCTCAACTTCTCTCTGCACACAGCTGTTTCATTAAGGGGGCAGAAAGAAGGACAATCGAAAATAAATCTATACTATCAGACAATAACACATACTGTGAAGAAAAACAAAGGAGGGCCAAGGGACAGAGAGTGATGGCAGGGAAGGGGGGGTTTCTGACAAGGGGGTCTGTGTACAACTAGTGGCCCTTGTCGGGCCCCGTACCTGGCGGTCCTAAGTGTGTTAATCCACCCCCAGTTAATTCCATGAGGAGCCGCTGTGGGCTCTTCCTCAGAAGAGAGGAATAGTATGATCCAACGCATGTCGGAAAGACCTGTGGCTGCTGAGTGAAATGCAGACTGTGGAGGGAAAAAAGGGAGAAAACTGAGCCCTGGTGGGGAGGCTTTTCCAGTAGGCCCGGTAGAGGGCGAGGTCCGGCTGGGGCAATCTCAGTGGGAATGGTGAGAAGCCAGTCTGATCAGGGACGGTCAGATGTCATGGTCAGATGAGAAACAGGTCTCCAAGGAAGAGGTTAACTTGCCAGAGAAGTGGATTTGCAGTAAGAAAGCATGAGTCTGCCTCGGTTTTTGCCCCAAGGGGCTAGTTTCAAGCGGCACTGCTGTTGACTAAGCAGGTAGTGGGCCGGGGAGAGGGAAGGAGGAGACGGAAATCAGGAGCTCTTTTTGGAACTTGTCCTATTTGAGACACCTGCTCAGATCCACGCCAGGATGTTGAAATGGCAGATGAGGGTGAGGCTGGAACTCAGAAGAGAGGTGCCGTGGGAAGACAGTTACAAGACTTCAAATAGGTGGACCGTATTGAAGGCCAGTGGATGGCACGTGATCCCCAGAGAACATGGAGGAGTCCAAGGATGGCCTTGGAACCCACGAGCCTTTAGTGGTGAGCCTCAGAGGGGGAGGATTCAGCAAAGAAGACAGACGGAAACAGCCAGAGAGGTGGGAAGAACACAGGAGGGTGGCCTCCTGGAAGGCAAGTGAGGAATGTAGTTCAAGGACTGACGGATCGGCTGGGTCAGATGGTGCTGGGAGGCTGACAATTACGTCTGCCGAGGGTAAGGCCACCTGCAAAAACGCTATCAGACCGGTAGTGGGGACACACCGGAGTGCCGTGGGCTGAGGAGAGCAGGGGGGTGGGGAAGGGGAGACGGCGACACAAATCTCTCACAGAGGCTTGCTCTACAAGGCTGCAGAGTACTGGGGAGGCAGCTCGCAGGGAAAGTGAGGTAAAGGTGTTTCTCCTTTCAGTGCGAAAAGACAGGGAGAAATGACGAGTGACAGTGCCCGGGCCGGGGCGAGAAGCAAGATCCTGGAGTTAATGAAGTAACTTTGCTGCCACCCTGAGTTGGGGGAGGGTGTGCGGGGCGTCTGAGGAACGAGAGCGCGGGAGCGGGAGCGGACCGGAAGACGCACCGCGGCCACTGGCCACGCTAAGGCCCTAATGTTAAACGTGGGGCCACCCCGTCAAAACAAGTGCAGTCAACGGGGACGAACGTTCTTCCAGTCTGCTCCCTTCCGCGGTCTGGGTAGGCGGAGAGGTGAATTTAATAGCGTTTGGGGTTTTGCTAGGTAGGTGTGTGGGGGGAGGGCAAGGCGGAACTGGGAGCTGACTGTCCATTAACGAGAGGTGGCAGGGATGGGCCGAGGACTCCTAAAGACCCCAGAATCCAGATCAAAGTGCCCGCTCATCAACTGTCTGTTCAAGTGTGTGTTTACTGATATGTAAATACTGACTACGGAGAATATCAAAATGGAGTAATTTTAAAGGTGGGGAAAATGTAAGAAGATTCCCAAGATATGCTGCCAAGAGGGAAGCCTCAGGGTAGGGTCTATCCACTATCACAAACTTAACCTCATTCTTCTGACAGCCAGGCACCTGTTAGTTTTTGATTTACAGAAAGCAAGGGGCTTCCAGGGAATTTTTCCTTTAGGTAAAGGGAGTTTTTGATGTCTAATTGTATTAAGATAGACCCTATCCAAGAAATTAAGCTATTCCTTAGATAAGACAACAGAGTACTATAATAAAGGAAGTAGAAACCAACCCAGAATAAATTCCTCAAAGAATACTGAGAATATTTTACTGGTTCTTTGTTGTTTCAAAACATGGCATCTATGTGCTATATTAACATATCTTAACTCAGTACCTGCTATTGAGTTATTGGTCTGTAAATGGAAGTGGAGACCATTACTACATGGCAGACACGAAGACTATATGATCTTGCTGTCTTCAGGAACTCAGAAAGTCACAGGAGAGACAGAAAATTTGGTGATACCCTCATGGTACCCAGGAGGCACATACTATGTGATGATATATCCAAGGTGCTATGTGAGCCTTAGAAGGGATATGTAGCCTCACCCAGCCAGATTTGGTGGAGGGAGGTATGCGGAGGGAGGAAGCTTTGGTTTTCACGAAGTCAGTACCTCTAGGAGGACAAGGCAGCCTTAGCCATGAGACTCGAGTATATCCCAGGTAGAGACAGCGTGAACCATGGCGGGACACCACGGAAGGGCACGTACCTTACAGCCAGACCTCTCTGTGATGCAGTCAGTTCTTCATCCTTTCGAAACATCCCTGGGAAATAAAAACAGGTACTTTGGTCAACTGTGATTTCCCCCAAGAATGGCATTTTCCCCCATTCACACTTCTACCATTTTCTCAGTGGAAATTCATGCTATAATCCCAACTTTTGGTGTAACTGGTTCCTTTCTTTCTCATTGTCACATCGGTTCAATCACGTCAAAGGACCACCATGGAACCCAACGTGTCTAGGTCTGTATAAGATAAATAACACACCTCAAGGCACAAATCTGAGACTTCTCTAGAGGAATTATTATTAACTTAAAAATTCCATGGGTGTTATATGTAAGTGCTGAGTCACTGGATTCTACTCCTGAAGCCAAGACTACACTGTATATTAACTAATTTGAGAATAATAAAAAAAAATTCTAAAATGCTAGCATATTTTATAATAAACACTATGACTTTCAAAAGGTGGCATTTAAGGGGCACTTGGGCGGCTCAGTCAGTTGAGCATCTGACTTCGGCTCAGGTCATGGTCTCATGTTTGTGGGTTCAAGCCCCATGTTGGGCTCTGTGCTGACAGCTCAGAGCCCGGAGCCTGCTTTGGATTCTATGTCTCTGTCTCTGTCCCTCCTCGGCTGATGCTCTCTGCCCCTCTCTCAAAATAAATAAGTAAACATTTAAAAAAACAGAAGGGGGCATCAAAATGTTTCCATTGTTAGATGATTGACTAACATCAGTATTATGAACCAGAAGCTCAACATAAAGCAAGAAATGATTTCCCTACCTCTCTCTGACTCTAATGAATGAAAACTGTATACATACATCATCTTTACCTTCTCTCCCCAAAGAGGAGGCTAGGACTTACGATTACACATTACTAGATTCTAAGCCCAATTTAAAGACCAAAGGAGAACTAAATTAAGAAGCAAACAATATACTTAAAACATATCTGTAGGTGTTCCTTAGCAGATGGCACAGGATGGGTGCTGTATGCAGTGGGGCTAAAAACCCCACGTAAAAAGCTCTGTGGGCCACTACGGATGACCAGTCTGACGGGGATGTCCCTCCAGTATGGGAAGAAACCAGAGTCTAACTCATGACTCACAGCCCAGAGTGTTAGCATTTCCTATGGCAAGGTGTCCATTCACTGAAGATTGAAAATATGAATATATAAATATTTATGCTAAAAATACATGTAATTGTGCGTGCGTGTATTGTATATACAAGGGATGAGGGATGGGGGAAAAGCATTCAAATACTAATTAATAAAAATGTAACAAAGACGAAGCAGGGACCAATAAAACTTGATTGAGACCAAATGTCTATTTCTTTTATATTTTATACTGCCACTAATGTTGGTCATATGACGGACCCCACTCTTACTGTTTTTTTCACTAAATCAGGTGTGAAATTAAGATGAAAAACTGCAAAAAAAAAAATAGTAAATAAACACACTTTAATGAACCTAAGCAGAGTTGAATATTCCTGTCTCTTAGCTCCTCTAATGCAGAAAGTTAGGGTCTTATCTCAAGTGAAAGTATATTGGAATAGGATTTCTTTCGGTGATGAAAAGTTAATTTCTAAATTCTTACCATCATGAATTTCATAAGCCAAACTAGTGATCTTCTGGGTAATTATCATCATTGGGCTGTAATAGAATAAAAAAGATAAGTATTTAAAAGGAGAAATTTAAAATAATACTGATGATGTATTAGAGAAGATGTGGTTTATATATACAATGGAATATTACTTGGCAATGAGAAAGAATGAAATCCTGCCGTCTGCAGCAACGTGGATGAACTGTAGGGTATTATGCTAAGTGAAATAAGTCAGGCAGAGAAAGACAGATCCCATATGTTTTCATTCATATGTGGATCCTAAGAAACTTAACAGAAAACCATGGGGGAAGGGAAGGGGGAAAAAAGTTACAAACAGAGAGGGAGGGAGGCGAACCCTAAGAGACTCTTAAATACAGAGAACAACCTAAGGGTTGATGGGGGGGGGGGGGGAACTGGGTGATGGGCAGGGAGGAGGGCACTTGTTGGGATGAGCACCAGGTGTTGTATGGAAACCAAGTTGACAATAAATTATATTTTTTAAAAAAAGAAAAAAGTTTATTCCACTTATGCAATCACAAAATCCTGACACTTTTTAACATTAAAAAAAAAAAAAAAGGCCTCCAAGGGATTTCAAAGAGAGAATTCAGGGGCTGCTATGTTTGGGGAAGGTATAGGGGCTAAGGGAGTTAGGGCTTCTCCCTTGCTTTAAAAGGCAGGCAGGCAGGCGGGAAGGAAGGAAGGAAACAGGGCAGGGAGGGAAGGAAGAGAGTGAAGAAATGAAAAGGGAAAGAGGCAGGCAGAGAGAGAAAAAGAGAAAAGAAAGGAAGAAGGGAAGGAAGAAGGGAGGAAGGCAGGAAAGGAGGAAGCAAGGGAGGGAAAGAGAACCGCATGCTCATCCCCCACGAGGCCCTGCGTGAGCATCGCCACCCGCCTCCTCCCTCACGCACTAAGAGCACTAGGACGTGGGGCCAGAGGGAGGCGGAGGCAGGCATCAGGCTGGGCCCTGGCTTCCCGATCTTGACTTTTCAACGCGCCACACTGCTGCCCTTTGGCTTGGCTGACTTAAAGGTGAAAAAGGAGTTGGGAAAAGGGGAATAGGTAGAAAATTAAGGTAGACTGGGTGAGCAATGTAGAACAAAACAGGAGAGATGGGGCACGAAGAAACAGGGCAAGGTCCACCTCACTGGTCTAGGGCCCAGGGACCAAGGGTCTGGGAGAGCCACCCCAGAGATAGCACCTAACATGCACGTTACGGAGGGCTTTAAGTCGTGTTACAACTAAGAAAACGGCAATATTTCCCCCGTTTTGTAATCTCTAATTGAATGGATAACTTGGAAAGGAAAAATAAATAAATCCATGTTAAAAAAAACCACCGGGATACATCTTTATCCTTTATTACGGTAGCTTACTGACGTTTGTATCAAAGAACAATTAATCACAAGTTATTTATTTATAGTTTTGGAATATTCCACTAAAACCAGAAAATCGCGTTTTGCCGAGAGGCAGAGGGTGAGCTCAGGCTCAGAGTATGTGCAGCCAAGGAAAGGCCTTCAGGAAGGCCAGCCCCACAGCCCACATTCGGCAGGAGGCGGCTCAGACTCCGTCACAGAGACCCCGTGCCTTCCACCTGTCCCCACTGCTCAGAGCACGAGACCGGTCAGCATCAGCTCTACCCATCAGCTCTACCCGTCGCCGAACACGAGCATCCTTCAACACCTAAAAAAAGGAGAATGCCTTCAGGCATTCAGGGGCAATGCGACACACAGACCCAGACCCCTGAGGACTTACAGCTCATTCTCCTCACCCAACAGGCAAGATCTCAGAAAAGAAAAACCTGTCAGATGGCAGGTGCTCTCAAAGTGCAGAAGGGAGAAGATTCCCCGTGGGCTCCCTTAAAAGTCAGCTCCTGTGTGAACGCAACTCACTCTCAGGAAATGATCCCTCAGCCAGCCTATCCCCCAGGCTTCTCTGAACACCCAGCTGCCGTTTTAGCTTTCGGGATGTTTTATGTGCCTCTGAGGATTGCAAAAATAATGATTTCCACTTCCTTGGGGGAAAAGAATCATTTTTCTCATCCTGCCTAAGTTCTCTTCATAATATAGCTCAGCAAAGAATTATATAATACTCTTCAGTTCTAAATGCTAATTCCCATTTCACCTCAAGTCATAATAAAAACCACTGATAAAATAATTATTAAATTTATCAACTCAGTGACGGGGTGCCTGGATGGCTCAGTTGGCTAAGCATCTGACGCTTGAACTCAGTTCAGGTCTTGATCTCAGGGTCCTGAGTTCAAGCCCCACGCTTGGCTCCATGCCGGGCGTGAAGCTTACTTAAAAAAAAAAAAAATATATATATATATATATATATCAACTCAATGACAAACTGCTAGGTGCGTATATATAAGATGTTCCAAAAATGCAAATATGTGCTTTGTGAGTGCATGCCCTCCTTGTGCCCTGGCCACCTGGCCTCCCCAGGCAAGTGCTGTGCTATGTGCCGTGCAGGCTGCAGGATGGCTCGTGAAAGCCCTCGTGGTGGTGAATGTGACAGGGCTGAATGCCCCAGGATCTTTCCAAATGCTGCTCCCTCCACTTAGACCACTCTTCCTGGAACTGTTTTTGCAAGGACAGCTGAGGAATCACTTCGCCCAAGAGGCCCGTGGACAGCTCTGCCTCAAGCCCACACTCGCCCTTCACGTAACCCCAGCTCCTCGTTTTCCTCCTCCAAAATATTTTCACGTTCGTGGCTGTTTCATTGTTGGTTTAAAATCTGTCTTTCCTCTCCAGAAAGTCCACGAGGTAAGGAACCAACAGTCTTTTTCACCACTGAACCCACAGTGCCTAGCACAAGAGAGGTGCTGAGTAAATATTTTAGAAACGCTAAATAAACGGACTCCTCTAAGCGTCCGGTCAAGATCTCTTACTCCTTCTACAGGTTGGTCGGACTCCCTCTAGCCTGTCCACTCTCATCTGTGCTTGAAAGCATTTACCATACTGTTTGTCATTTTTCTGTTTGCTTTCCTGTCACCACAAAAAATCCTGGGCTACTGAACACCAGGAACGCCGACTTATTTATCTCTGCACCTGGGGCACTAGACATATACACGGGTTCAAAGGACCGACTGGTTTGCAAAAACGTCTCGGCATCTTTTTGTTCCCTTTACTGGTGATGGTTAGCCCCGACTATTCCCTTTGGTTTTAAATGGGTGGCAGTTCCAGGGCCTCTGGTCCAACCTGTCACGGGGTGGGGTCAGGGGGTGGTGAATGTGACAGTAAAATGCTAGAAGGCAGAAGTAGCACAGAGAGACTCAAAAGGAGTGGGTTATAAGTGAAAGTAAGCCAGTACTACAGTGAAAGTTCAGCAAGGCATGAACAGATCACTGAGAGCTGAGAAAAGTAAACCAGAGGGGGAAATGGACACACGAGGCCAACACGGGCCATGTGCCTGACCAGGAAGCCGACCGGAGCAGGACCAACTTTACCTCGTTACGGCAGAACCCAGGGTGTGGAGAAAACACTTGTAAACGAAAACAACACTGTTCTCAGAGAGTACCTGCTGTGGGTCTTCTTGAGAGGGCACTCTGTTCACAAATACCTGTTTCAGTGACTCACACATGATTTCACTTAGACCTTTACTGACATTTTAACTACTTGCTGACTTCGCATCTACTGGAGTCTCCAAATGCTAATCACTTCCAGGGTCCTGGGAAGTCTGAGATCACCTGACACGAATCAGAAAGACCCTCTGAGGGGCGCCTGGGTGGCTCAGTCAGTTGAGCGTCCGACTTCGGCTCAGGTCACGATCTCACGGTTCACGGGTTCAAGACCCATGTCGGGCTCTGTGCCGACAGCTCGGAGCCTGGAGCCTGCTTCGGATTCTGTGTGTCTCCTCTCTCTGCCCCTTCCTCGCTCATGCTCTGTCTCAAAAATAATACATAAACGTTAAACAAAAATTTTTTTTAAATATATAAAAAAAATTTCAAAAGAGACCCTCTGCCTTCCCTGTGGCAGAGCCAGGGATGGAGGAGGGAGGGGGTGGACAGCCTCAGGATCTCCAACGGGGGAGCTCAGGGCCGCAGACAGAGGTACCTGTACCTTCCACATGATGACATCACTGTATTTAGGTGGAAGTACACAGATTTACTCCCCGTGGCACTCGGCTAGGAATGTGCGGAAACGTGGAATCTAACGTTTCAGGAGAAATACTTCAGCTGACGAGACAGTTTCAGGTAATATTAAACAAGGAAAACAAAAACCCTACCTGCTACAACAACTAAAAGCTCTACACTTCTTGAAATTTAAAAAACAAAAGGATACGAAAATTTAAAAAACACTTGCATTTTTTTGTCTCTACAGATAATGAGAACAGTTGGTTTAGTTCTTTCATACAGTACAATTCAGCTGTAGTTCAACATTATTAGAAACTGAATGCTGAGGAGCGCCTGGGTGGCTCAGTCGGTTGAGCGTCCGACTTCGGCTCAGGTCATGATTTCAGTTTGCGGGTTTGAGCCCCGCGTCGGGTTCTGTGCCGACAGCTCGGAGCCCAGAGCCTGCTTCGGATTCTGTGTTTCCCTCCCTCTCTGCCCCTCCCCCACTCATGCTCTGTCTCGCTCTCTCTCTGTCTCTCTCTCTCAAAAACAAATAAACATTAAAAAAAATTAAAAATAAATAAAAGAGAAACTGAATGCTGAAAAGAACAGTTGCTGCCTCAATTGCCCATTACCTCCAGGAGAGGCTATCTCTAGCGCCATCAACTGCAAGCACCTGCCGGGTCAAAGGTCAGCTTGCCACTGGGTGCAAGTCACCTGACAACAGAGCCCAACTGTCAGCTCTCCTCTGTGGTCCTCTCTTTCCTCCACAAACAGCAAAACCCACCGAGGCCAAAACAAGCCCCACATACCGAATGCCAAAGAAAACGCAGTGAGTCATCACGGAGAGGGCCACGGGTTTCTGAGCCACGTTCATTCGTTCACTTTACTCCCTCGTTCAGAAACAGGTATCTAACAAGCACCTACAAGAAACCAGATGCTGGAGACACAACCGTGCACAAGGTGAAGTTCTCGGGGCCGCAGACCTCACGGTGCATC